TGACGCTGGGGCTTTGTTCGAGTAGGTGGAAAGAGATAAACAGTGCTGGGTACAACCTAGAAAGGATAAAATTCATTGCCTCGGGGTTAGGGGGAGAAATCACAATTGTAAACTTTCATAAATTAATGAATTAATACTTAAAATACTGTGTGCTAGGCAGTATTTTAAGTATTAATTCATTGAGAGAGAACATTTCAAATTTAGAACCCAGGAATAGACCAGACAAATCAGTGAAGATCAAGGAATGTAGGATCATGGCTAAAGAGATGAGTAAAATCATTCGAAAGAATTGGTTATGAGATGTTCTGATCTGTTTGAAAATAGAGACTGTGCATCTGTAACTTGGCCACCTGTGTGAGGTTTGTACTTGAGGCTGGCGAGAGCCAAATGTGTGCATCTTTTCCCAGCTCTGTTCAGTAGCATCCCATTGGTAGCTTGAAGCAGCCATGCTGGGAGCATTTACACCGTGGCGATTGGCAAATGCTACAAATCAGGGCTCTCCCTTCCCCTTGCCTCCTGAAAGCCAGTTTGCCACACCAACCTAGGACCATCACACACACACACACACACACACACACACACACACACACACAATCTATATATGTATATCTAGCCTAGTTAATTAATTCATTCGATAAACATTGGTTTAGTATATACTTCATCCAAGCTGCTGACTCTGAGTTATTATTTAAGGCACTGGTGATAAATCAATGAATAAGACAGACACAGACCCTGCCTTCATAGAGTTAACAATCTAGTGGGAGAAACAGAAATAATGTGTTAACACAATTAATTCAATTGTGAGTAATGCCACAAAGAAGAAATACAGTTGACCCTTGAACTGCCCAGGCCTAGTTATATAGTTGGACATTTATTTATTTCCCAATAAATACAGCTGGCCCTCCGTATACTCATGTTTCTTATTCGCAATTCAACCAACCATGGATCAAAAACACTATTTTTACATTCCCAATCCCAGTTCCCCAACAAAGGGTCAAAAAGAACTGTTTTCCATCCACAGTTGGTTGAACTGCAGATGCAAAGGGTTGACTGTAGTTATGTTTTGGGGGAGTCAAAAGTTATTCTTGGGTGTTTGACTGCACAGAGGTCTCAACGCCTCTAAACCCCGGAGTTGTTCAAGGGTCAGCTGTATAGGTGCAGTTGCCATTCACCCTCTCCCCTTGATCCACAGCTCAATTCTCCAGCATTTTTAGTGGGGAAGCAAAACACAACTGCCCCACTATTTTCTCAGTGTTCATGCCTCCAGCATTTCCCATCAATAACAGGTAACTTCTTCAGCACCAGGCAGTCCACTTCCTGGGTTCTCAGAGAGGTTTTGAGTCTTAGGGATAAGAACCAACTGGCCTCAGAGCAGTCTCAGCAAAGCCGACTTCCTCCCCCACTTGCACCTGGCCAGGCAGAGCTCCCTGCCACTTTTCTGCTCCCCAGGACATCACTGTTTCCATGGGAACCCACTCACTTCAAAGGGGAAGGAAGGAGACTGGAGGGGAGGAGGGAGAGTGAAAGCTGGATTAACCTCACCCTCTTGGCCCTGATTCTGAGCTGCTGGCAACCTAACCGCCAAGTCCCAGACAGCACCCAACGCTGTCCACCAGCACGGAGAGATGGGGCGCTGTGGTCCAAGCTACATTTTAACTTCTTGAGGGGGAAAACCCTGGGGTTGAGGTGGAAACTAAGGAAGGAGAGAACTGAGTGGATCCAAGCCTGCGGTCCCCACTGCTTGGGGGCCTCCTCCTCAGACCCTCTCTCAGTATTGCTCCTGGGCCACGAACACAATTACCCGCGATGTGCATCCAATCACGGGATCTGCTCAGATTAGACTGCAGTCATTAATCTGAGCGGGACTCCTGGCTGCCTTGCTGATTAGTCCAGATGATGCTCTGGTATGATCCAATTAAAGACAGATTCGGCCTCCCCTCCACCTCCCCAAAAAAAAACATACACAGTGTCCACATCAGAAGGAACCTGTACATTTCATTAACACATCCTCATACACAAATAAAACCTCAGGGGCACTGGCAGGCTCTCTCACTCACAGGCACCTCTCCCTTTTGTCACACCGCCCCTCTGCCGCCCTGTAGGGGCCTAGGCAGGGAGGGGCTTCCCCCACCCTCTCTTTATCTGTGGGTCTGGGAGGGGCCGTGGTGGGGGCTCCCAAAAGTCAGTGTGGGCACTAGTCTGAATTGAAAGGGTTTTGTTACATTTATTGACATGAAATGCAGACTCCCTGAAGTGCTTTGGAGCAGCCGGGCTGCCCCAGGCAGGCAAATCTAATTAAAATTACCCGACCCTACAGGAGGCTGAGCTCTCTCCCTGTCATCTCACAAGGGCTGTAGAGAGGGCAGCTGGTACTAATGGGAGAGGTGTGGTTCAGGGAGACGACCCTGGGACAGGAGGCAGGCAGGAAGGGCTGCAGAGAAGAGAAGCTGGGCAACGGTGTTGATGTCCTGAGAAGCTGGGCAGCCATGTTTGGCTGGACAGTTGGTGGTGACCCGCAGAGATATCCTGGGCAAACACCAAGGGCTGTAGGGTGGTCAGGCTGCTGGGAGAAGGTAAAGGTCGGGTGTGAAGGCAGACAGTAGTAAGAGAAGTCCTGATAAACAGCGCCCACGTGGGAGATGGCCTGCCTCTCCTGCGTGGCCTGGGTGGGGAAGGAGCCTGGGATCTTGGGAAGGGCTATGGAGCCCATTGGTAGGAACACGGGGACCCCTCTGCATTGTGCCAGACATAGTGCCAGGGGCTTACATGGGCCGTCTCCAGAATTCTTACCAAACATACCTATGAGGTTCTATCATGATACTAAAGTTCAGAGACTCATATACAGAAGCAGGACTCAAGCCTCAGTTTCTGGAAGCTTTTTGTCACACATTAATCTGGTGGTGGTGGTGGTGGTGGTGGTGGGGTTCTTTAGACTCTGATCTGTGCTCGGCTCCAGTCCTTGAGCCCAGGAATCTCAGAAGGTGCCTGGGATTAGTCTCTAGTGTGCGTATGCATCACCTGGGATATTGTTAAATTGCAGATCATGAATCCTTAGGTCTGAGTAAGGCCCGAGAGTCTGCATTTCTAATTAGCTCCCAGGTGGCACAGGGCTGCCCGCCATGGACTGTGCTTTGAATAGCAGTGATCTAAATGGAGTATAATGGCCGTACCCCCAAGTCATCAGACCATCAGGCAGTTTCCAGAGGCCATGTTATTCTCCTTTCCCTTCTTACACCCACACACAGAAGCACCACAGGTTAATGACAGGTGCTTGCAGCCACATCTCCCCACACCCAGCCGCTCTGGCTCCTGGCCGTTCTTGAAACACCTCAGCTTCTAGTCTGCCCGGAAGGTCCTACTCTACCCATTCTCCTTACTAGCCTTCGAGATCAAACTCGAGTAGTGCCTCTTCTGCAAAGCCTTCTCTGTTAAAACACTGCCCACACTGTCTTGGTTTCTTGTTTGGAGAGACAGGGAAGAGCCTGTGCGCTTTATAGGTTTACTTTCCTTCCCCTGGATTCCAGCCAGTGTCTCCACATACTAATTGTAAGGG